TGTGTGTGTGTGTGTGTGTGTGTGTGTGTGTGTGTGTGTGTGTGTGTTTAGTGTACTAGGGCTAAAAAAACGAATCCTGTTGAACAGAGGCTTCCATGTGACCATGCATCATCTGCCATGTAGAGCCGCTCTGCATCATCAAGTTGTAATTTGGATAATTGAAGTAACTCGCGCAGCGCGGGCTATCTACCACATTATCGAATGATAGAAACGGACACACAAGAATAGTGAATAGCAAACTTTGCCATAAATGTATTTAAGCATATGCACGACCTTATGTAAGCGTAAGCGTAAGCGTTTCGCTGCATAATTTTAATAAAATGCATAAGCAGAAGCAAAACCGCATATGAATATTTTCTATGCTGGTATGAAATCACACACATACGCATATAGTTCAAACGAAACATACACGTGACTAACACATTGGCAAAGCGTAGCCAATGACATTGGATCTCCCGTTGACGGCTTTACCTTTAATAGCAATCGGGGAAAGTCGATCCCGCAAACTCCGAGACGTACTTGTACTATAAATGATGTGCATAATAGTGTTTATAATGAAAACATGAGGAAATGAAGCAATTATCCTGGAATAGCAGGAAATGTAATAAAATTATAATTATAATTAAATATGATAAAATTTTAATGACAAATCAAATTCGATATCGATTTTTATCAATGCCGGCTAATTAAACGATGATAAGAGAGATTTTGATTGATAAGAAGCGAGAATAAGTTAGACTAGTGCGGAATGAAGAAAAGTGCTCCATCATAGGTAGGTTCCCAGGAGTTGAGTTCCGTTCAAACCAAAGATAGCCCTTTAGGTGTGTAATACAGAAACGTAACCTCTGGAATATTCGATGGCAACTACATCCGCTTGGGTGAAGAGGAATAATTTACGTTCACACATCGTTAACTTAAAACTCAGTTTTGAACCACGTGCCTACAGCCGCCTCAATCAACAGAGTTAAGCTTAATGAATCGAACTTTCATTTTCGCGTCGTACTATTTTTAAAAGGATTCCTGATAGGTTACATATGATCATAATATGTCAAATGATCAAAGATAGATGAAGCTACACAAATAGCGTTCAGAGCTCGCATTGATTCCGTGAAAAGTAATACTTTGTATTTGTTGAAATTTAAAAGAGCTTGTACATGATGAACATTACCAAACTTGCCAGACGTCCCTTATCTACTCTCAACACGTTCGCTATTTAAGTAAAGCACCCGATCTTGCATAACAACGATGCACACACCATGGGAATCTTGAATGGAAAGTTTTGATGTATCCACCGCACAGCTTGAACTTTACTCGTTCGATTGCAATTTGTTCCGCTCTCTACAAAACTCTCTTAATGGAGACTCGTAAATATGACTTGCGTCAGTTGTTTTTATGCAGAAATTCTAGAAGTTTTCCATTGACGGCATATATTTCTTAAGTTCATTTGAAATGCAAAAAATATTTGATTGAATTTTGATGGAAAACTGCTGCGAACGTTCTTTTATACATTATACATTAGGATATTCATTGGTTGTCGACGAACACATCAATCGATTTGGATGGTGCTTAACAGAAAAAAAAAAAAAAAAAAAAACGTTGCTAGCAGCAACACTAATTCCTTCTGATTTTCCCATCGAACATTTTCCTAAGTAACTTAATTTAAACCGTGTGTTGTTTGCTTAAAACAATTCACAAAAAAAAAAAAAAAAAAAACAGACAAGGTACAAAACATCAAGTTGCGAATGATTGTATACCGGCTTGAAAAACAAAGAAAAAAAAAATTTAATATTCAATAATAAATGCCTGGATGTGATCCTTCCTTTGAAATCTTCACAAAAAAGAAAAAAAAAAAAAAAAAAAAAAATGGCTTGCTGTACCCAAATGAGGTCGTGCGATCGGACTGGGTGCGCAATGTGACGAATATATCTGTAAAATTCAAATCTACCGTCATTTGATCTCAAAAGGCTAGCTATGAAACAAGGCCGCAGCAGACAATCTAATTTCTTTTTGTCCTTTTATAATAACTTAACTTACACGTACTTCTATACATGCAAACGCGATAATGGTTCAAAACGATTTTCATTAGAAGGGCGGAGAAAGAAGGAGTAAAAGATCAGCGTGAGCGTGTATCATGAATAAAGGGAAAAATTTGCGCAGATAAATGATTGGCGGACAAGACGTTTCCTCAGAGTGTGGCAGCAACTCTCGAATAAATAAGTACGAATTTTTACGAATTCGAGCAAAGTCGATCGATTGATTGGTGGACCTTTGCCACGTTACCGTAGCTTCGAATAATAAATATTTACATGGAGGTAAGAAAGCTGCTGCGAAGATGGATGATTGCACCACAAATGCACCACAAATAAACTTGCAATAAGCAAAGCTTAAGTAAAATTTTATTGATATGCATTTTGGATACTGCAACGATTACAAAGAAAAAATTATACATAACCGTGCTTTCATTTATTTATTTATTAGCACATTTTTTATCGTATACTCTTCATATTTCTTAGTTTCATTCTTTTTCTCGATTTTTATTTTTTAATTTTAGACTCAATCCTCAAAAAATGAAAAAGCCACTGTTGTATTACAATATATATTTCATTTGTTATTTATAACAAATTTTGGGATTAACTTCGTTCTATATTGTGTTAGTGGGCAAAATTTTCGGTAAGTTATATTAATCCAAGCCAATCAATTGCATTAAACATTTTTTTCTCATTTCCCTGTCGTCACATTCATTATCCTAACCGTCATCATGTTACGCAAATACGGCAAATTCTCTAAATGATTGGTCCAAAAAAAAAAATTGATCAGAATTTGAACATATATCAATAGCAGATTTTAATATATTCTCGTAACGTTACAGCTCCGTATAAAGCTCGTCATAAATCATAAAGAGGCTGCGTTTTCAAAAATTTTAATTGCACAATTTGAAGGCATAATTTTATGGATATGCAATTATTAAAAGCATACACAATTCTTGATGCCCTTATGGCTATGAAGAAATACGCCCACAATCTTTCATATAGGACGCTTTGTTCCAGAAACAGTCACGCACTAAAAATATCGATATCATTACGAACTCTATGCTGAACAGCTGGACTATTCATTGATTTTCATAATCTGTAGGTGTAAGAATATGGGTGAAGTCAAAAAGGCGTTTTAGAGACCTTAGAGACCTTAGAGACAGACCTATCTGTTTCTCACAATGTCTGTGACAAACGTTCTATTGATCGCAAAAATGAAACTATCGGTTTCCAATTGGAACTTGTTGCAAGGATCCGAATGGTGCCATCCAAGCACAATAGAAGATGAGAACTGTTTCCAAACTGTTTTAGTTCATTTTGTTATAAAGAAGAAGAATAAAAATTGTGCATATTTCAAAAGCTATCTTATACCTCTACAAAAATGCTTAAAATACCTAATGACTACCGCACACCCAAGTGGTTATCATGTCGGCCTACCCGAGTTCAGTCCTCAATGCAAGAGATAATACTTTATTTGGGAGATTGGCGTGTGTTTCTAGCAAGCGACACTCACCGATATTCGGGCTTGATCTTCTAGGCTTCTCCTCCGGCCACGCCATATCTTTCTCTCTTTCTGTCCGCCCTTCTTTTCGACCTTCACATTTAGGAGGCATGCTTTCAATAGTTAGTCATAGACAAATAACAAATAGCGGGCATTGGGCACAGGAAATACGCCCTTAGTCGAATAAAATTTTTCGCTTCCTTTTTATTTTTGTTAATTTGACGATTTGAAGGACGACCTTTATTATTTTGTTTACTTTTCAATTAACTTCTACAGAAACTTTGATCTAACTTTGGTGATTTTCTTAACTTTGTTTCTAGCAAAGCTGTGCTCGTTATGTTTAGACGAGTATCAGGATCGCAACGCGAAGGTACTACCCAATTATCAGGTAAACAACACTGTAACATTAAATTATTATTATTACACAAACTAATAGCATTATATTGCCATATTTAAAATAGAAAGTAATAGTAAAGTTATTATATAAACGACCTTAAAAAATTTAACCTTCACATAAAACCATTTCATAATATTACAAATCAGATTTGATCAAAGAGTTCAGTTCAAGTCTTTAAATTCACTTAGCACGTAGAACATCGTTTACTGGGTTAAATAAATGCCTCGATGAATTCCTTTAAAACCGAATAATCCTAACAATAGTTTAACATATTTGTTATCTGGCACACATACAAATACGATATTGCAACCTTTAACGGAGCAAAGTGCCACCATATAAACCGTACGAGTTTTGCCTTTCGTAGCGATCCGTCAAGTCTCAGGCAACTCTAAGTCTAGTCTTGTTACTCGAACTCTACCTGTGTTGATTGCATTTATTAAACTGCAAGGTGACAAAACTAAGACGGACATAACATAATAATAAATAATCTCCACCACGACCACATATATGAGGAACTTTTTCGAATTCTCTTTGAATGACTGATCAGATATGAGAAGAGAAAATAAGAGAGATTTGTGCAACAATTAATTCCTCCAATAGAACTGCTTGGTTTTTCCAAGGCGCTGCTGTACCTCACAATACTCTATTACGATTTTTCGGTCTTTAACTGAATTTTGTCGAATCGACCAGCGATAGCGGTCCCCCTTATCAGATCCGATGTTTCTACTTTTAAGTCTATGGTACACAAATGCCGTTGCCTTCTTACTTTCCTCTCTATCAGTAATCCTTCCGTGACCATAGCCATCACGTCCACATGTATAGGAGACATGGCATTCCAAACATAGAAAAATTATATCAAACATACGTGAACTCACGTGTCCAAGTTGATTTTTCCTTAACATTGTTACATGTCAACATTACGTATTATGGAATGATTTAAATGTCACATACGAAAGGATATTAAATTGTTTCCTCCATCCATATTCATATAGAAGAAACGAGCTGATTGGTATTCGTAGAATACACACACAACATTAAAAGTGCATTAAAAAAAAAAAAAAAAAAAATTGGTTTATGGTATGCGCACAAGTGATGCATGTAACATCGTACGGTATACTGCATTAGGCGGATCAAAAAAAATGCTACGATTTTTAATATCAAATATTTACTCGGAAAAGCTTTCCTATTCATTATTCGAGACAAATGTTACCATATATTAAATTTGTCGTTGCGTATGCAACATTACGAAATCTCAGACCGGTACGAGAGTTACTAACCTACTCAACAGTGTATGAAAAAAAAAAAACAAAAGCATTTATAATTGCATTGATCAGGAGTTCTCGCAGGCTATGCACATATAGTATTAAAAATAAATAAAAAAAAGTCTTTTTCCATCCTGGGATACATGTTTGATAGCCACTGTTTCGAGTAATTACATAAGAAATTTTTAGAAATATTTTCTATAGTAACGACGGTCGTCTCTACAAGGAATGTTTTTATGCTCTACGCCACTTGCATTGCAAGAGTACATTGAGTTTGCGCGGAGATATGCAATACCGCGAAGGCCTCGCGATAGATCCATCAGCCAAAATTCATTTCTGAATCGGTCTAAGATTATATATCTGTTATCCGGACTCTCGTGCTCAATCCATAGGTTTCAAATTTTTGGGATATTTTCATAAAATTTGATATGCTCACGTTTTTGGACCCAAACACAAGAGCTATTGAAAATAGTTCGCATCGGACCACTTTTCTTCCCTGATGAATACTTGCGCTAAATTTTAAAGCGACATTTATTATGGATTACAAGCTACAGCTTTGTGGCGACTAAGCAATTAAAATGAGCTCTGACAAAATAGCTTAAAGATGTTAAGGCGGAGTTCTTAAGGGACCTTTCGGTATTAGAATTTTTTAAAAATATTGCGCCACCAAAACTATCATGCAATAAAATCACCGTTTGACATACTCTATACTACGTAGCCTCATATTGTCGAAACAAGGTATTATTTTGGATCACACCATCTTCGCATTCAGGCCACAAAAAAGGGCTGTGTATTCATTCTCAAAGGAATAAGAACCGATAATACTAGTAGCACAAATCTTCACCTTAACATAGTATGTAGAAATATCTCTTAAATAAGCTACGGCTTCCCAATAAAATCGACATTTCTTAGTTTATTCATAAAGCCATTGATATAAAAAGGCGGCTGGGAAGATGATCTTTGTAAAGAAGCTCACCAAGAGGTGCAGCATCAGAACTGTGGTGAGATAGCAGAGCAGAATCGGAAACGACAATACTTTTTTTATGTATGCCAACGAGAGTAAGCATTAGAGTTTTACAAGGCCGATCAATATATATCGTCTAAACTATTTCGTGTCATAAAATTCTTTACTTATTTGCAGAATAGAGAGCTAAAAATTGTACCACGTGTCCATGTAAAGGCATACTTTTTGTTCATATACGAGATTGATTTGAAAAGTATAGACTCGCGGTTTCCTAATTTGATTCAGTTGATTAGCCATTAAAAAAGGCTCACTTCTCGTAGATGCGATTATCATAGTTAATCGCTTTTAGACGATCATACTCGTATACAAGTTCGCGCCCTAGCGACTATTTTTAGCCAACAAGTCTGACTTGAATTAAATTGTGATGGCATTGTGAAAAGTGAAGCGTGTATTGAAGGTCATGATAAATCGTCTTGCAGGAAGGAAATCGATCGAAATCATAAAGGATTGCGCTGATTGTATCTATGTTAATGGGAAATGTTTAATTTGGGATCAAAAATTCTTTATACCTTATTATGTCGAATAGTTTGCGCCCAACTTTATGTACATATATATAATTTAATTTTCCCATTAATTTAAGATAATTTAAGAACTAAGGATACATAACTTAATCATATTGTTTTATGCACTTTATGCAGCACATTATAGCCCAAGTCTTCATTCTCTTATTTATACATAGTTTGAAAGCATTATTGCGGATACAACACAAAATTTCGATTCTCTGACACGAAAGATAATATTTGATAATTAATCTTTCCTTTCAGCCTCCGATTTAAAATCGTAATCGTGATTTTATTAGATGGACAAACGGCACACGGACATGACTATATCGATTTCACAATTCTCGTTGGACGAGCCTATTATTTATAGGCGTTACAAACATTTCAAATCAATTTAGCATACCTGATATGGTAAGTATATATATATATATATATTTTTTTTTTTCTTTATCCGTTTATCTGTGCATTTCTGTGCATTATATAATATGCAATTTACAGAGAATTTCATTAACAGAGAGACATATTAATGTAGTGCACTCGAGCACAACACACTTATCAAATAATTGATGAAATAAAATAAGTGCGGGAATAAATATTGGAATACAACGCATGCTGTCTTCATACCCTACACCACTAGTAGTAGGCTAATACAGAATTTATTAAGTTTATGCGGACGATCGATTCACAGAGGGCTTCTTAATTTCAGCTTGTCTGTCCATCTGATGTCTATCGATAAATTTCTGTACTTTCTGCTGTGACATTTTAATGAAGTTTGATACACTGGAATGGTTCGACGATTACTCCCCATAGAGCGCCTTATTTTAAAAACAACAATTACTATTTTTAAAACTCTCCCCTAACATTCGCCGAGTAATGGTATTACGACATTCTAAATTGATATGAAAAATTTTTTCCGGCTATGGAAGCCCCTCTTATATAATCATTCTCACGGAAAGTGAATCTTCACATTATAAAAAGATATAATTTTTAATAATTCATGAGAAATATTAATTCGTGGCAGTAAATTGACAAATTAACCAACCTTCCCGAATTTGGACCACATAATTCTATTTTATGGACAACTCTGCAATAATTTTCAAGAAAATTTAACCCTTGCACGACAAAAAGGCCTAACTGCTAATGTTTTATGACGCATTTTTAATTAATTATAACAATTTGATAAAAAAACTTCAGTGAACGAAATTTGAACCATCTCGATCGATTCCCTGGACCCCGATCCTCATAAAAGCTTTCTCAAGTGGCGTATAGAATAGTAACCGCTTAAAAAAAAAAAGGTTTAATTTTCTAATATTTTATGATGAAAATTAGTGCATAGTGTCAATTAGGCAAAAAAAATTAACGATAGGTTATTTGAAACACATCTTTTTCTTTTTTAGACTCTACCATATATGGGGGATTTTATGAAAGCAACGCCCTTACACGGGCAGAAACTCTAATTTCTAGTTTTTTTTTTTTTGACGGCAACTGAAAAAATAATGAAATTTTTAGAAATTAAATTAGCTTTGGTGAATTTGGATCACGTCGTTCGATGTTTTAGGCATCCTCCAATATGGGGGCCTTCATAAAGGGTTTAGAAATAACGCATAATTTTTGGCGCGTTATTACTCAACCTCTACTAGGCTTATTGGTTTAGGGTATCTAACGGTCGCCCTTGACCGACTACAGTGTTACTATTCTGTTTTAATTTAAAATGATTAAGCGTAAGAGCATTGTATTCTTACTGCATTTACATTATCTTGAGTGCAGCTGCTACATGCAAGGAACATTCCTCATTATAATCATAGTTAATAAAACTTTTCAATCCAGTATGTACTGTTAAAATGTATTTAAGCGGAGTGAAATTAAACACATTACAACTTCAATAAGATTTTTATAATTAATATCGGAGGGCTACTTAATTTTATCAATGCATTTGCATTCCTTGTTTAACTGTTTTGTATCGACAAAAGTTTTCAAGAACTTTGTCAAATAAACTTTTTTTATTAAAGTTCAACGTCCTTAGTTTCATGGCTCGTGTTATTTTGTGGTATGTTAATATGATAATAACAGCCTGGTTCCATATGCGTGGTAGATGTTACGCGGTATCGCTCAAAGAACACTACTCGTTGGAGCGAATAGAAAATGCAAGCCGTAATAAGTCTCGCGATACAGACCTCTATATAGTTTAAGGGATCTTTCACATAAGAACTATTCAGTAATTTACAAATCTCGACTTTTCAAAAGCTATTCTGAAGGGGCTTACGGCCAAATCAGATCTCTTCTCGAATCCAACCAATACATACGTGGATGTAATCAGCTCGGCATACAGATTAGTAGTAACTAAGATGCAATTTTAACGACTTTCAGAAAATCAACTTCGGTTGGGACCGTATCTTTTTTATTCCAATCACCATTTACCCCAAACAAAGGCAAAAGAAGTAAAATAACAAAATTCTTATACTCTAAAATATGGAGTGAGCGCAGTTGATTTCTTCTATTTTAAAAAAAAAAAATTTTCGTCGTAGAGGCACGTATGGGTGTTGTAGGCATGTCCTTGGAAAAGTTTGGGTTAATTCAAAATCCTTTGGAAGTATGTAGGCAATATATTCATTGTCGCTAAAGGGAACATGTTTACGACATATGCTGGAAAGTTACGTAAACAGACAGATGGCCAGATGAACAGGCGGACATGTTTAAATGCATTCAAGATTTGAGATTGGCCATGAATTTATATACTTTATAGGGTTTGTCAAGCTTGTTTCTACGCGTCATAAAGGTATTGAAAAAACAATTAAATTTTGATACACTATAACATTCGGTAGGCGTGACAATTTTTTCCATTTTTGTGCACAAATGCTACAGCATCGCCCATAGAAAATATGTTCACATTTTTTTACATTTATTTGCAATAGTTTATGAGTAATGAGCAAAAAAACAATTTTTGTTTCCCTTTGAAAAACAGAAGTGCTCTCAGCTTACGTGGTGCTGTGGGCGTGTTCGTCGACCGATTTGGCCCATTTTCAATACCAATATGCGTCCAAGAACTTCCAGTATTCCAGAAGAATATTTACAACAGACATTACACAAACGAACAGACGATCCGGTGGAGAGACGAACCTGCTTAATTCGATTTAAAATTTGATGCTGATCAAGAATATATATACGTTGTGGAGTCTCTGATGCTACCTTCTGGGCGTTGCAAACGTTTTAACAAAATGAATATACCCCTAATCTTTCGGTGATGAGTATAAAAATATATCCAAACCGATTATGAAGTTCATGTTAAAGATATGCTGGCACTGCTCACATCAGACGTATGATATGTCATGTACTTACTTGGTCATATTTTAAGAAAATGTTCATCGATATCGCCCAAACTGCATTTTAAATCAAGTAACTTAAACTAAATTTGTTCCATTTTGAGCAAACAATTTCTCGGGTAACTTGTTAATAACGCCATCACTGTAGAACTACTAAGATTTGTGGGCAAAAAAGCAACACAAATGATATTGACAAGCCTCTATACTATATACTATATGGTGGATGCATGAAATCTTCCCAGCCAACTTCTCTTCATTTTTGTCATCTTACGAAATATTTGCGTAGCTCCGCAACTATATTCTACCGATCTTTATCATCTTATCAAAAATTTGGTTGACCAGCCCGCAAACGTGTCTTCAGAAGCGAAAATGACGGCTGTCAAAATGCGTGCCGCTGACTATTTTCATAAGCCTTTTTCGTCACAAACACTATATGTGTGTTTCATTTCCAAAAAGGCAAAAATGTACTGCATGCCCATAAGTGCATAGGGGCAGTGTACAAAGAAAACATCATAAACGATAGCGAATGTTGATAGCATAACGATGGCGAATACAACATGGACAGTGACGATCAATCATTTAATTGCTTTAATCCGTTTACGAAAATCTACCTGTTTTGCATTTAAAGTTTACTCGGTTTTCGCCAACAATTTATCTACCGAGACAATATAATATAGGGCTGAGATCTTTGATAGCATCTGACCCCTTTTTTAATTTTTTCTTTTGGAGTTTTCAGCCTATCAGTAGCGGGCGCGCTAAACAAGATAGAATTGCCCTTTCAATAATATTTGCAAACACTCCAGAATTGTTTTCATTCAAGTTGTCTCTTACTAATAAGAAGTTTTCGACAGCAAACGTTAATCAATTAATTGGTGTTTTCCTTCTGAAAGGTGAACCTATGAATATGTTATCAAAGGCTTCGAATGTTTCGAAGGAATATTGCAGCCGTTATATACCAGTACCCTAACAACACATTGCATAAAAAATTGCATGTCTTTCCCCATGTGGATGCCAGACGACATCCGATAATGTATTAAGTGTAAGCAGAAGATTCATATTCTTGAACCTGATGCTCGTTAAAATGAATTTTCAGCGAAAATCAGTTACACTCGTTATCATTAATCTTCAACGACAGCCTCAACGAAGATAATGTATTTTAATAAAAAAAAAAAATATATATATATATATATATATATATTCGTTTTTTTTTTTTTGTTTGGCTGAGTAGGTAAGAATCGCGACTACCAAGTGAGCCCGTTCCCGGGTTCAAATCTCAGTGCGTTAGAGTTTAATTTTGATCGTAGCGGCAGTGAATGCTCAGTCGATGTAAGCATAACACTTGTTGATTAGGCCCACATCTGCTCGGCTACGGCCATCTTCTCACCTTCTTTCTTTCTTTTTGCTCATTTCTCTCTGTCCCTCACCGGAGTATGCGAAAAGGAGACATTGCCATATCAAAGAAAAAAAAAAAAAAAAAAAAAAAAAAAAAAAAATCTAAGCGAAAAACAAGTACATTTTAGAGAACAAAGGTTAAAAGCAATCCTCTTCGATGCTTCAATGCTATGCATTCGGCCATCAAATTCAATAATATTTAACATTTATAAGAAAATTAATTTCAAAGTTTGTCTTTTTCAGTTTCCCTCAAAGAGTCGACTAAAGCTTAGCTAATCATTTATTTGCCTTTCGTATTTACTTCCAGTCACAAATATCTACAATGATGCTTCATAAGGCATATCCATCCAAAGCATATCCAAAGCATTTTAAAGCACATTTTTATTTATTATTGCTTACGGGTTTTCATTATATATGCATTTGCATCCTGCGGGTGTTCAACACTATGAACAATTATAACAACTTGCAGAGCAAATATTGAAAATGACATTTCAAAAAAAGAAGAAGAAGAAGAACCACTGCTCTTAATTAAATATATATGATATTTACTTAATTTTGTCTTGACTTGAATGCAAAAACTGTTATTAAAATATTTGAATAAGCAATTTAAGAAAATGGGAAAGAGCTAAGTTTCAAGTAAAAAAAAATATTTCTGAAAATATTTTTCATCCTCAGCTACGTAAAGCAATCGACATACGAAGGAAAATTCGTCTCGTACAGATAACAAGTCATTTTTATACCCACCACTGTAAGATGGGGGTATACTCGTTTTTTTTTTTTTTTTTTTTCCCATAATATATGCAGCAACCAAAAGGAAGCTTCAGTGACCCTATAAAGTATATACATTCTTGATCAGCGTGAAACTCTGAGTTGATTTAACCGCGTCTGTCCGTCTGTTCGTCCGTGTGATGTGTATTGTTGGCACACTCCTGGTTGCAAAAATGAAGATATCAGCTTCAAATTCGGTAGAAACTTCTGCACCCAGGTTGATATTGAAAATGGGTCAAGCTGGACAGAGCAGAAGCGCGCAGTGAAGCGTAAACGGAACGCAAAAAAAGTTTTTCATAACCAAAAATTTTTGGATTTTAGCTGCACCCAGTAAATCTCGCTAAACGGAGTTGTCAAAGAGAAACAGTTTCACGACCGATGTTCATGAGTGCGCTTGCCTTAAACCGTAATATCAATATTATCTTGTGTCGATTATTATTCATCCGCAAACAATTTAAGCTCTTTGTGTTTAAGGCCAAAGCTATCAAAAATTATGTTGGCCCATACCCTTATGAAGCCGGGCGAATTGACGCTAAAGTGAAACTTTGGCCTTCATTATGTAACGTATAGTTTTGGTTTAATTGGCCGATGATCAGCAAGCTAACTATTCGAAAGGTTTTAAATCTGCAACGTCCAGTGTTTCGTTGGTGTTTCGGAAATAGTTTATAGTTTATGCGTAATATATGCTATAGATTTTAGAACTTTCGATATTAAATTGATTTCGCGGTACACAAACTTCATTACCGAAATTATTTGACACATTTACCAAGCTTTAGTTTTTTTATCTGCTACTAATGTGTTTTGAACATCAACAACCAACGTCGAACGGAAACGCTTGTTTCAATTACATGCGCATATGTATATAAATTTGCATTCTATTTGTAACATTTGAACGCGTCCACCATTAGAGAGTACGTGCATAGATAGACAAAGGAAATGACAATATTTGTGTACCATCCAGTTATAGAAACGGAAGAGAGAACCAGACTAAAGAGAAAGAATGTAAACTATTAATTAAAATTAAGATGCATAGTTCTACCTATACACAAATAATTCTTACGAAACTGCAATTAACAAGCAGTAGAAGGTGCTATTATGTAACTAAAGAACTATTTGTTTATATCTTTAACTTTTAACTTTTATTGCATTTTGCAATTTACATTTCGTTTTTAATGTCTGGATGCGTTCATCATTCAAAAGTACTTGCATAGATAGAGAAATTAATTAATTAAAATGATGATGCATAATCAATTTACATGCAATCAATTATTACATAAGTTTGCTTAACAACCAGTAGGAGGTGTTACTATGTAATTAGACAAGTATTTGTTTATGTATATCTTTAATTCGTGATTTATATTATTTTTTTTGCTCTTTCTATTTTTAGTGGTTTAATAGTTTATATATTTATAATTATTAATAAAATTTAAATAATTATTAATTAATATTTCTATACACGTAAGACTATAGCATTTCTTTCGGTGCAATTTAGTCAGCATAAGTGTCGGATAGGATGGCGTATGTTCGTTCAACTTACTCTTATCCATCGTTATAGTCTACATCAGTTATGGTACAGGGTATATTAAGTTAATGCAGTCGTATGTTGCAGGCAGAAGGGCTTTAGATGAATCCACCATTCGTTATACCGATCGATACAGAATCAAAATCTGAATTGATCTAAGCCTGTCTGTCCGTCTGATAGCTGTCCATGTAAATTAGTGTTCAAGCTACAGATCGCAATTCTTGATATGTTTCAATGAAATTTGAAAATGATTCGAATAGGTTCACTTTGTCGACCACTGCCCATATAATGACCTATTGTGAAAAGTCGCTTAGATGGAAAAAATTGCAATAGTCAGGATAGAATCAGCTCTCGGTATCAATTTGGCAGTGAGTTTGACGCGAAGAGGAAAATTTTTAATTATAGAAATGTATTGAGCTTCAGACAGACAGACAGAGAGAGAGAAAGAGAGAGAGAGAGAGAGAGAGAGAGAGAGAGAGAGAGAGAGAATGAACATATTGAATGTATGAATCTTGATTTCAACACGTACAAATTCCATCTCTATAGGTGCGAATGAAAAGCGTAGAGAAGAGTCACGAAATTATTGTATCAATAAGCGGGTAGGTGCGGAACATATGTAAAAAGAAAATTCAAAATCTCAGCTCACCTCAGCTCTCAATACGTACATAAATGAAGTAGCAATTATTTTAAATTTTACACTACGAACTTTCGGTAGTGAATAGAAAAGAAATGAATGGTGAGAATGCGATATTAACTTTAAATATCGGAACCTGTCTCACACCTACGGCTTGAAGTACGTCAATTCGTGGCCGCTTAATTCAGATAAGAGTTTCCGACTTTTACATTTCATTTCAATATAAATTAATTGCTATCACAAGAAAATGTTACATTTTTCGAATTATTATTATTATTTTTTTTTTTTTTTTTTTTGCCTCAAAAACAGTCTCTGAAGATGGTCACGCAAGCGGTGGTGTTCTTGGCATTACGATTTCAACCCGTCGACGTCTAACAGAAAATTTGCTGGAATGAATCGCACAAATTGCGCGAGCTCAGATAAACATCACAGCCACCGATTTTAGTCGTATTAGAGAGTCAACGAAACATTCACTTAATCGTTCATTCAATTCAATTGTTACTTTTAGTATTATTATTGAAAAGGCATACATATTAAGTTAAAAGTTAAAGGAAAAAATAATTAAATAATGTTAAAGTAAAAAAATTGCATTCTATAAAGAATAATCTAAACAATCAGTGCTGATTATTGCAAGTGAAATATGCTTGTAAGATTTTTTCCTTCTTACTCTATTGAAAATAAATAAATAAAATTGAAAACAATTAATTTTTCATTAAAATGTAAGTAAATGAATAAAATAAATTTAATGTTTACGTGTTGTGTTTCACACGAAGAAGAAGAATCTTTTCTTTTTTTTTTTTTTTTAATTTCTTCTTAATTTCAATCATCCTTGCTTTGTCCCATCCCCACCCCTACCCCCTGCCTCTCTCTCTCTTTGCTATCACGTATGTCAAAAATGTGTTTTATAGATGAATGTGTGTAATTAAAATGTATGAAAATTGCTTAAAATATCTGTAAAATTGAAAATGCACTCGATTTTAGTGTTTACCTTAAATGTTATTATTGTGATTAGCAGTGCAATGCAATCATCAGTCATTTGCATAACTATATTTATACCATATTGTGCACATTGACGTGTACGATTATTTGAAATAATAGCTTAATAAATAAATAAAGGAATTTGTTGTAATAATAAACTGAGAATGCAATAAATAAATTTTGAAAATTTATGATTGATTTTATTATTAATTCTCTGAAAAACGATATGTAAGTACAAGGATAGTTTAATTAATGAATTCTTACATTCCACCCACCACCCATCGTACGGTATATATTAATTGTATTGCACCGCAATTGCGTTCACCGCATTTAGTTAGTTATTTTAAGTAAAAGGCGCTTAAATAAGAAGCAGAATATGAAACTTTACCGGGAACAATGGGGGAAAAAAATTGCATATCTATCCAACAAACGTGAAACAGAAGCAAAAACAACAACAACAACACCGATTTTCATTTAAAATTGTATAAATTCGCGGCGAAACTCAAGTTCATTTATCATACAACGCTTTAAGACCAAAGAAACTTTCTGCACATTTATCATAACTAAGTCTACTCCACTTCAAATTCTAAAAGCGATAGCGGATTTGCAGTAGAGTATGGCTTCCAAGCTGGTGTCACGAAACTTACTCATTTCTTAAAACTGAACCAACCCCTTCAAGTTCGAAAAGCATTAAAGCCAAATATAAATACCTAACGAAGCAAGTAGCGACTGATGGAAAGTTTGACAAGAATTTGGGAAATTAGCATAGAAATGTCACAATAACATTTGATATTGGTAACTTGTTTATAAAATGGCACATAAGCAAAGTTGTTTATGAAAGGCAAACTTATTCGAGTCAATCGCACTAAGATCAGAAGACGCTTGAAAGTAAATAGAAGTTCCTGCAAGTAATTCATGTGTTCTCGTAATCTTTACCGTCACCTACATGGTATAAAGTTAATAAATAGTGTCATTGACTCGCCTGTTTCGTTCCTATCTGCCAAACAATACGTAGTCAGTGTGCAGGTTCAATTATAAATACTTTTCGCGTCCTCTGTAAAAATCGAAATAAGTTTTATAACATAATCTCATTATCGAGAACGGTTGCTTCCATTGAACTATAGCTTTTTAGTTCACGGCATCGACACTAATTATTGTAATTCAGTTGTCGAGTGCTGTGGTTGAGCTAAGCGAGCGTGTGATATTCTTTATGCTCACTCAGTCTTATATATGTATGTACAACAAACTAGGTTATGACTGCTATCTGAATCTATACTATACATAAATTAAATAGATAAGTAAACTAAGTAAATAATATAATTAAATATAAACAATAAAGTAAATCGTATAAGAATCATAAATAAAACATGTATGGTAAACTAAAATTAACAATTCAACAGTACAAACTTACTCGCACAAAGATTTTGATAGATATGTATATTATTCACAAAAGGGCATTTTATGTAACAATACTACGGTTTTTGGCGCATCGTTGTAAGTGGATCTTTACGATGCGGCTTACATAGAATTAATTGCGTATTAAACGACTATTTATAGGTTTAGTAATTAAATTAGATTTTCAACTCTAAACACATATTGTGTGAAAACTCTCCACAAATCATCTTAAACGAAAGCAAGAACAAGCAGATATAAAAATTGGAATACATTTTTTTGTTGGTTTTTTTTTTTTTAGACACAACCTACTCCGTTGCAATGAAACGTACAAAGTATCCAACACATTATAAATATTGTGTCGTATATTCCATTACTTGTACGTAACTATACGATACGATACTTTGATGGCAGAATAGCATACAATATATCGTAAAAAGCATTTTAAAAAAATGATAAAAATTCTCTACTCTATATAATTGAATGGGCGTGGCTGCATTTTTTTTCTATTTTTCTAGAATACGAAAAAAAAAAGGTTTATCGTGTGTTTCTGCTGTAGTTTATGGGTAAACAGCAAATATATGGAAAGCAAAAGTATTTGTAATGCATGTAGCATATTGTGGGCATGTCCTTTGACCGGTCTAAGCCATTTTCAAATACTCTTGCAAATGCGAGGATGATGGCTCCATTTTTGCGAACAGTATACTGTTTACTACAGGTATGATACAATTGGGTAAACGAATAGATGGACAGACAAACAGACGGACATAGGTGTAGATGCATTTCGAATTTGACGCTGGTCAAGAATGTGCAGACTTTATGAGATTCTTAAAGATTGGTTCTGAACGTTAAAAAGGTTCTGGACCAAAAAATAAAACTTTTATATGCTATAACATTGGATGGGCGTGGTTGATTTTTTCAATTTTTTGTACAAATACTCTGGCGTCGCTCATAGAACATACCTTATGCTTTAATTTGTAAGGCATTTTTTTTTTCCTTCGGCAAGCATAAGTGTTCTCAGTTTATGTCCCAAAATTTGTGGCCAGTAGAAGATTTGCAACAGACATTGCGCAGCTACACATACTTAACTCGATTGAGAATTTGATGCTGATCGAAAGCATATACATGTTATGCTAAGCTTCCTTCGCGATATTGCAAACGTTTTAACAAAATGAATATATGCCGCATTCTTCGGTCATGACTATAAAAGTCTACATATGAATATATATATGTGCAATTTTTAATTACTCTAATATGTCATAAATCATTACAACCACTATTAGGCATCATTAATAAGCGATATTTAGGACCGATATTTAATAAAAAACAAAGACCTTTCATGGTTTGTAGAGATTTGCGAATGGATTTTTGGTACTTGTAAGCAACCCTTTAGCGATTTAGCGAGTGACTTGAGATTATAAGGAAGGATAAGGAAAATGCAAAGCTCACATCAATATCGACCGAAGAGAGCCGATTTCACTTCAAACTTAGTTTGAATGTACACTGAGGTCGAACAAATTTGTTGCTGTAGGAAAAGTTTAGCGATAGTAATCGCGATTTGAACAAGCGACTGAGCGGGTAGACGTGGCTATATGCGGCACGCATTTCTTACGCATTTCTTTACACGAGAGAGCAAAGCAATTTAAAGAAAACTACTTAATAACGCTAGGACTAGCAACGTTTTGCATATGCTTATCTCTAACGTTATGGATCAAACGATACGTATATGCCATCGATGTCCCGAAAACTCGAATAGGTAGAGAAAAACTGATTATGTGAATGAATATATTATATAAATAATGATTGCATCTTTACATGTTTTATAATCATTTTTTTTTTTTTTTTTTTTTTTAGGTCTAATATTTTGAAAGGTCATATTGACCCACGCGGTAGTTCAAATGTTAAGTGGAAAAACTTCAATTACGCAGAGACACGTTTGGCTATAAACTTGTTTGTATGCAAAAATGCATGTATTTTTTTTATCTCCCGCTGCATTGTACTTTGAAAGTATTTCCACAATTTCATATGTACGCTCTTCCTGTTATACCATTTACTTATTGGTTTCTTTGTAAACGGATTTTCTAGTGCATTGGCGTATACATCGCGCATCACAATGCAATTCCATACAAAAAACCCTTATGGCATGAGTTGCTTTTAACCGGTTGCCATCTATAGACCTTCACTGTGTGTGTGCTGGTGGATGCACATAGCAGTCCCATATATTCTTCGTATGATAAAACAAATATAAAAAAAAAAAAAAGACATTGTTTTTTTGGAAGCACTCACTGATTTCAAAATGAACGTGAACGTGTTAATGCTAATTGAAAGTTCGGTCTGCTCGGCTCGGCTTTTTGAGATGCAATTAAGATTCAAGTCAAAACCATATAATCGAATTGGGGTACTATTAAATGTCCAACTACTTTGACTTTGCCTACTCCTTGCCGAAGTTAACAATTTAATTAAAATAAATAGCTTTGAAGGTGGTATAAAGGACTAGCTTTTGAAATCTTTTTTTTTAACGAGGCGCCGAAAGGCGAGCCAACGTTGTCCACAGCTAACATTTGCCAAAGAACTTATGATTTTCGCTCTATTTTCCAAATATAATATCAAAAATGAAACATTGCTGCCATATAAAAACGATAACTGTTTAGTAGGTTCCTTACATACAAACGAAAGTCCATGTAACTCGATTTGCAAAGAGTAAGTTTATATATTGTATATATGTATATAAGATCTTATATCATATGAATCTATGAAACTGCTTATTGTTACCTAAATTAATTTATATCGAGAGAATTCTAAATCGGTTGCACCGCTCTCCTCTTCTTCGTCATTTCCCCTTCATCTTGTTTTTTATTTTTAGATCTCATTGTTATTGTTATACTGTTATTACCTTTCAAAGTAGTAGGCAACGTAGTAGTAACGATATAAATCGTATTTAACTTTGCTGATATTATTCTGTACATTTTTATTGTTATTATTATTGTTATTATTTTTTTTCCTTTTTTTTTTTTTTTTTTTTATTATTACTTTTCTGTTCGCTTTTTTAATTCGATAATAACATACCTTTTTCATTGTCTGTATGCAGGGGGCCCACGCTGCCAAAGAAACGTTTATCCAGTATTTGTAACAATAGTAATGCTGCCGAATGTATTTCAACACGTGGACAACCGGTCATCAGTAACGTGACCGTAATAACTGATGTGTAATGATCACAAGGATATTCTCTGAAAGTGTATTATATTATTAAAAATGTGCAAAAAGGAAAAAAAGTAAACTGAGTTAATTCAAATTAAAAATAACGGGATTTTCCTACAAAAAAAGATCATAAAAGCTTTAAATTTTATGCAAATCCTTGTGTAAATGTTGATTCAATCTAATCAATGCAGAATGATATTACTTTTTTGGGTCCTGTTTATCCACCCAAAACGTGAATTACTTTGCCTAGGCAACGAAGCACAGCGTTATATAAACATTTGTTAAATAAGGTCCTTTTGAAATTCATTTCTAGCGCACGTGCCATACAATGCAAACCAAAACAATTAACTATCATTAAATCGTTCAAATCTTCTAAAAATAAAATCCGCTAAAAATAACTCAATCAATCCGTTTATTAATAAACATTTCGCTCCAAAATTTGCATACATTTGCAGTATTCTGCTTTTTCATCTCCCTCGCGCAAACCACATTCTCCGCATATTCAATTATTAGTCAACTATTTATTCTATTAGGCTTAACAGGAAGGAAGTGTCATACAAATTATTTATATAATCATTGTTACAATGAAATTATCTTAACTTATTAACTAAGTTTTGCTTATTTAACTAAAGAGGAATATATCTCGTAATTAATCTCTAAACACAGACTTCTTTGTAAAATATTTGTTCACAACACAATTTTGTCGAGGCATTTGCAATTTTTCTTCAAGTTTCATGAATCCACGTAATTTGTGCGAAAAAAAGGATGAGAAACACACAAATATATTCGTGAAGATAAGATAAAAATGCCGTTTGTAACGACTAAACTACCCTAAAAAATAACAAGTAAGTAAATTAAATTCGGTTGAGACCGAATCTTTTATACCGATCACCATTCCCTTTAAAAACTTTTGCTTTTATTGTAAAGATGGAAAAGGTTAGTTCTATATGGATGGTAAGACCATACAAAAGAAAGAGGAATTCGCACTAATGGAAAGTGTAAGATAGAAATTTGACTCGATCAGTTAAGAGCAGTTCTCGTTTGTATCAAACATAACAGATCAATCAATTCGTTGACTTTTTTTTACATTTCACTCTCAAGATGGCAACCGAGACAGCCGTACTCTGAGCTATAGCATCAGAAATTACAAAGCATTTTTTTTCTTTAAACGTTTGCTGACCTTAACAGCGCTAAGGCGGCGTGTTCTTATCATTGCTCCTTCGGAATGCCAAAGCTGATACAAACTCAAAAACGGTAAAACAGGAATACAAATTGTTTGCTATTATGATTGGAGACCAATCACGTCACCGTAATAAACGCCTCAGAGGAATTCTCAAATGTCGGGGGAGGGGGAGGGGTCTTGTAATATCTTAACACTGAAATGTGCGGAATAGAAAATAAAAAAAAAAGAAAATTATATTATGATAAAACATCCCACCCTCATTGGTGCTCGTTGTCGCCCTAGTTTAGCGTTTATATTCATTTAAAATCGGAATTTTATTTGATTAATGTTAAATTAAAAAGCGATTGCTTTCAATACTTACCTCGCACTAAATATTGAGGCCAAAGCTAAGAAGCAAGCATCAGCTTCACGGGATGTTGATGTATAACAACGATCAATAACCCATTCCAATAATTGACCCATATCAGGATTAGATTCTAATAACAAAACCACCGTATCACGTGCCAACTGATAAATCTAACGAAAATTAATGAACAAATGCAATACTATTTGTTATTTGATTATAATAATATTGGAATGATTTTTGCAAAACTCTTCATACCTTTTCATCTTTAGACGTGAGCAGCATATCCAACCATTTATAAATAATGCCATCATCGGAAAGATAGGGTGTATAAAAGACATGACCACAACACAAAAGAGCTGACATTGCCTGGAAGAGAACACAAAAAAAAAAAAAAAAATACTTTTAATTAGGAACTTAAAATATATGAAACGAAGTGAGGGAAATGGAAAAATTCCAAAAATACCTGTAAAGCACTAAATTGCAATTTCTCCTCTTCGGGTGTTTGACCAATTTGTGAGGTAATCCCCAAAGGTTTTGAAAATAGACCACACCACGTGGCAAACAAATTAAATAAATTACGTTTCAAATCGCGTGTTAATAAAGTAGCGCATGACTCCACTAAACCGTAATCGAAATGATTAAAAAACGAAAGTAGGAAGGAAGAAAGAGAATTGAACAAAAAAAAAAAAAGAAAAGTTTCATTAATTTCCCGCTTTTATTTAGATCAAGGCAAAAAGAGTGTACTTACATGAAAAATTCTTAATCATTTTGCGTATAAAATTACAAAAATGTGCCTTAACTTCACGTATACTAATATTATCCTTATCAGTCTCAGATATTAAATATTGCATAGCACCTTCAATATATTCAACAAATGTTGGATGCAGCGACATTGTATCGCGCTCTAAAACACAAGTACTGCAAAGTAAATAATAAGATAACGACTGCATAAGAAAAACTGCATTCATCTAAAAACGTATTTTAAAAATCCCGTAACGATATTAAATTGAATTCAATAGCATATCTTCAAGGGGCAGTAGAAACAAATCTACGAGTATACCGTAGCTACAGAGATGGCTGTTTGTCAAATTTAAAAGTTATATATAACCTAAGAATTTTCATCCGATTCTTATAACGGAAATTATTATTTTTTATATATAAAGATTTTAATAACTTAAAAAAATTGTATACATATAGATATTTATTTAAAGCGAAGTAATTTTCTACGAATAGAAAATTTTCTCATTTTCGATTATGACTGGCGAGGTCAGTTAAGAAACATATGCATTTTACATTTATATATACATACATACATATATACACATGCTCTTTATAAAAACTCTGCGGGTACATTTTATTAACCTACCCCATTTTCCAGCGTGCAAGCGGAAAATTACTCTAAAAGAACCATTTATGCTACGCGTTATGCTACAAGTAAGTGAACATACAAGAGCACTTTTATGGTTCTTTGATTGCATACCAATGGTAAAAGTTTAAAAAAAATTTTTTTTGAATAACTATAATAAAAAAGAATGTATGTGTAACTTTTTAATCGCGTTTTCCTCAATAAGCGATGGTTCGAAATGACGAGCAGCATAACCGCAACAATTTTCAAGTCTTTAAAATAACATTTTTTAAAGGAATGCGTAAAAGATATCGGATGCATTTATTTAAACATTATTTTGTTGACGAAGGATTGCCTTCTTGCCCTCCTCTGGCACTGCCATTATTTTTAATATTTTTTAAAAATAATTTTTTTTCAATACTTAAATAAATGCTTAATAATTTCCTCAAACACAATTATTGTAATGGCCTTTCTACCATTCAATGAAAAATTGTTAAAGAAAAAAAAAAAAACGTTTTATTTATAAGGCAGATGATGGTGTATCGCCTGTACAAAAATGGCAAAAATTGACCACGCCTAGTCAAAATATTATATAGTGTATCAAAATTTCATTTATTTATTTATTTATTTTTTGCAATACCTTTATAAGGCGCAGTTTCAAGTTTTGGACATATGGGTCCGACGGTCTATCCATCAGTCCGTCTGTCCAACAGCGCAGTATCTGTGCTAAACGTTGTCCCGCTAGCGGAAATGAAAATATCGCCTAAAAATTTGCAAAAAAATTTGAAAGTGATCTCAACTTTTCCAAAGACACGCCCACAAGGTCTACGCGACTGTGCGACAAAACCTTTTATTTTGAAAATAGAAAAAATCAGCCGCGTTCACTTCATATTGTAGAGAGTGAAAATTTAGTTCTTTCACAGTTGTACTTGATACTTGGGAATATAAAGCAAAAATGCATCTACTTGATGGATATAAAGACAGAAAATTCTTACATCTCCTTACAAATACTAGAAAGATGAAATTATTATTTTCGACACTTTCATGGCGCCATAAAATGAGATAGTATTATCGAAATAAATGAAGAACCGGAAAATAGACATCCTCGGTATATTTATTAGTAAGAAAGGGGAAGAAAAAATAGTGTATCGTTAATATTGGATGTATCGTAGCGAATCGATTGGGAGAATTTTTGCACCGAACATGGAAGTGGCTTTGACCACTAGATTTATTATATCGTTATTTAATGTCAAAGCTATCTGATATAAGTCACAGTACAGAAATATAACGTGAAAAATCCCCGCTATCCGTGTTTTATAAAGGAAAACATGTGTTATACGAGAGACATGAAATCGCGTAAATTGAAAACGCGTTATAAGATCACCGTATTACAGGGGCGGATTACTGTATGTCGAAGAGGTCCGTAAGTGTAGCGTTAAAGTTGATTTTGGGAAATCTTTTTCGATTTGTTTGCATCTTTTCAACGAGATCTCTCGATGTGCGTCTGTCTCCAGCGATATTTGAATTTTGAGTTAACTAAATAAGAAGACACAACTAAATAAGAAAGATTATGCAGCGATATCTTCAAAGAACTAATGCGTTGTAAGGAGATCTAAGAATTGTCTGACCATTATTTTGGCGAATAGTTTTAGGCAAACAACGCACAACGCGGAAGGAGTCATATTACGTTAATCGAATTTTTTTTTTTTTTTTTCATAATAGCATATAACAGTATATATATATTTTAGGATTCGGGAGTGTGTTGCCAACGGGGTATGGTAAACATTTGCCATTCAATAGGAGACTTGAAAGTTTATTCAATGTAATGCATTGCCATAACACATGTATAGCTCTGTTACTTCAAATCTGGTTAACTGGCAAATGAACAGGACTTAATCTGCATAGAATAAGCAAATGGACTTTTATGATAATGAGTAAAGCAATGAGTACGGCGAAAACAATTTCGGACTCTGCATGCAACAAGACTAGAAAACATTTCCGAGAATTCTTATTCAATACATGCCATGTCATGCATGCAAGTCGTTTACAAATGGATATGCTTTTGCAAAATTGATTTATGGCATGAAAATGTGATCGGGTGTTCGCCACAGCAAAACTTTCATATAGTCACGCACAGTATTTGGTTTGATTTATTGGTCTAGTATCAATGCAAACAAATGTACATTCGTTTTTTGGATTCATTGCAGTGTTGCGATTACTTACCAAACGCCAAATGTACCGTTTTCAGCAATTTTCTCTAATACTCGCACCAACTGTAAACGTAAAGCATCACGTCTACGACGCCGTCTCATATTCTCTTGCTTTCTATCAACCGCTTCACGTATGTAGACAACGAGTTCCTCCATTATATCTCTGGGAAATGAAAAAGAAAACAAACCAAGTAATCGTTATCATCATCATCATCATCACTTTTTTGTTGCTGTTGTCTTTAACTTAATTTCAAATGTTTACATATTTTTAATAAGCGATTATGTGAATGCACGATTACGTGCTCGATTTATTTGACTTACTCTTAGTTGACTTGAGTTTAATTTGTACATAGAACACATCTCGCTATTTAAAAAGCGTCACTGATTTGAATATTTGAGCGATGAACTTTTTTCAAAGCAAAAATAAACTATTGCTTATTTTTTGAATTATACCGATTACCGTCACAGTCTCTGCTTTTATATCAACCAAAAGGGTATGTATATATATATATTAGGATATATATATTATATATATTAGGATATATATATATATATATATATATGTATAAGGATATATATATATATATATATATATATATGTATAAGGATATATATATATTTCCAGCGTGGCGCAAAAATCAAGCGATTAGAAATAATTGTAAAGTACGAGAAAAAACACTTCGTGGCGTCTTTCTCAGTAAAGGGGCTCAGAGTCGCGTATAAAAACCTTACTGTACTCAGTTTGAAAAGCGACAATGTATAAGTAACAAAAAGTCAAAAACATTGTAACATACGATTGATTCAGTCGAAAGTACCTGCGTCCTGGCAATGGGCTAAAATGTGGAAAAAAAATTCCATTGTATTTAACAATATCAATTCCATTGAAAGAGTAAAGCTTCGCAGGCATATGAAAAAATTTATGTTGTTTAGGATGAAAATGGTTTATCACAATGTCAGCAGCGGTTTAGCAAACGATTTGCTATGTCACACTCTGGAACTATGCCGGATGCAAGTTCGGACTTATGACGAATCGTTGCATTCATTTGCAAAGTAATCAAAAAACAATTTTAAGGGCTGGGTACAAAAAGAAGCTCAATATATGGGTAACACAATGCAGAAAAGTGCATCATGTGCAGAAAATTGTTATCCAGTGGTGACAGCGGTCTGGAATGATGCAATATGCCTTCTATTGTCAGCAATTAGAATTGATCAAAAGAAAAGGTATGATCACGTTCATCACAACATGGATAGGATATGTTAATGCATTAATCGTATTGAACGGTTCTTGTCCTTCATCATCATTTGTGTCGTTCTCAGCTGAAATCTCTTAGAAGGTGTAGAATTAATTTCGAAAGAAAACTTGTCAAATTACTTGGTTCAATATTTGGGTTCCCCTCCCCCTCTGATGAATAATTACAAGAATTTTGTAAATTTCGTCAAGTTAATTTAAAATATATATAAAAAAAATGATACGAATTTATGCAATCATCTGATATAAAGATGCAATTTGCACGACTAACAGAGTATCTTATCTAAAGATGTGTCCTTCATTATAAAATATATTTTCACGTACTTGAGAGCATCATGGTTAATCATGCCAAGCGCATTAACGGCAGCATCACGTACATCTGCTACCTCACAACGCAGCAACGGCACTACTAGCTTATATAAAGCTTGCGGTGAAGCCGAACCCAAAGCGGATTTATCACTACGATCGGCATTCAAACTATCTGGTGAAGAGCTGTAAAGTACATATGAAAATTGTATGAAATTATACAAAGGAAAATAATGTTTTTCGTTTTTATTTGTAACTAATTTCTTCAGTTAGGAAGTAAACAGAGAGAAAATCTAAAGTTAAAATAACAAAAAAGAAAAAGAATGCAGCTTGGACTATATATATATATATAGAAAAATATGGAACATAATAACAGAGTAATTAAAAAAAAAATAAAAATTCAAATTTAAATCAACGTGAAAGTGAAACCAATTAAAATGTAAAATTCCTCTTTTTATTGCACAAAAAAAAAAAAAACATGAATAAAAAAAAATTAAAGGTTAAAAGTTGCATTCTCTTCTTTTCCAATATGAGGCTCCTTATTAGATTACAATCTTATTATTACTATACCCTCCACTAATTATCATCATAACGTTAGTTCCCTAGTTCTAGTCTTCAATCGACTGATCTCTCTCGGATGCGTAACTTTGTTGATTAACAACAGTAAATATATGGATTACTTAAGTATTACGTCCATCGAACAAATTTTGATTGCGAACTTTTTTTTTTTTTCAGAAAATGTTACCGATTATACTGTTGCTACGTTTGTGCAAATCTTCCTCACAATTGTGCGGTGGAGGGTATCGCTCATATTCGGCATAGGCCGAATCTAAGTGTTTCAGTTGCATTTGAAAATTTATTTAAGCAAAAGTTATTTGATATTTAATTATATAAGGGAGAGACCCGATTCTTTGATACCTACTATGCATCTAGTAAATATAAGATGAGAGCGGATACTTTCCCTTTTAAGCATTCAAATGTAATTCATTGAAATTGAAGACTCTGACCAACAATTTCAAGCGGAACTAAATCGAAACAAAAAAAAATTAAACTCATATTCGAACAGTCAGTGTCTCTAACAAATAGAAATTTTTTTCTAGGTAAGAGGCAAAGCAAAGTTTCTCTCCTTTCTCCATCTACAGATTTTATAAAGTACATAAGTACACCTCGCTCGATGACTAATCATATCGTCCCTATTGACAAGTGCATGCAATTTTTACGTAGTACCAACCTTTAAAGGAAATGTGTATAAATTTCATAAGATTTCGACCTTTAGTTTACACGTTACACTTATTTCAGTGAAAAAAAAAAAAATAAATAAATAAATAAATAAAAAAAAATTTAGATTCCATGTAGAGCCTGTACGCAAAAAAGTTTATGTAACAAACGAGAGCATATGTTCATCTGCGCACGCGATTTAATCTGGATTTATTCCACGACAATCGAAAAGTTGAACACAAGTGCTTTCGAACGCTCAAAATGGCGGTCCCGCAAGTGACTTTATTTTTCAAATTACATATCATGTTCAACTATGATTTTTCGCAAGGTGAATAAAACTTCGTTACTTAATCTTTTTAAGATCCGCTCGTCAATCGGCGCAGCTTATTTTCGGAAATCTTCGCTATTCTAATGAGCTTAACTTTACCTTTTTAAAAAACAATAAAAGCTCCGCTAAGGCTCAATCGCTGCCTATTTTAGTATACAGGTATCGGGATTGTTTAACTCCTATATATGCATATATATATATATATATATATATATATATAAAAGGACTTGTTATCGTAAATAGATATAGTCTTACATATTTTAATGATATCAGTATGGGGTACTAGAGGGTCGGGCCTTGTCGGCACGTTCCCGTTGATTTCAATAATTTGATTATTGAAATGCAGTAGTCGCTGTTCATGCAAAATCAATAATTATACAAAAATTCTTTTATTTAAACATATACATAGAGATAAGGAAATAATTAAGCTACTTGGGTGTCTGTTGACGCCTTTCTAACAAAAAGGATAAAAATGTCCCGTTTTTGAAAATGGAAAAACATATGCTTTTACTACAGCAACCAAAACAACAACATACATACACTAATAACAATAACTGTAACCAATTGAAAAGCAGCTTAACATTATAATACAGCAAAAAATTATGATAAACATTTTTTTTGTTTTTTTTTTCCAAATTGATAAATAACTCTTTAAAGTATCGACACATTCAAAAACTATATATATTTATTTATTGCTTTACATATTTGTCAATAGCTATTTATATCTCGTTGTTCACACTTAATATTAATTAAGTTAAATATGTTAAATAAAATTTAAAATATACATAAGATATTTAAATTAAAATTGGCAAAAAAGTGGGAATAAAAGAAAAAATTGAGAACAACAAAAAAAAAAAAAAAAAAAAAAACAAAAAAATAAACAAGAATTGACAGAAAAAGGGAATAAAAAGTTTACCCCAAACGTTTTTGTCGCGCCTCTTTACGACCATAGGATAGCGGCAGTGTGAAACGTGTTACAATTCCTTCGGGTCCAAAAACATTCGAAGGTATATTATCCAAAGAATCGGATAGTGAACGGGAATCCGATTGATCTTGTAAACTAAAAATTTTCATTTGTTTTTTTTAAAGATTTATTTTTTGTTGTGAATTTTTTTTTTTTTTTGTTTTTTTTTTTTGTTTATAATTTTTTGTTACCAAGAAATCATATTAAATTAGTTAAATGAAAACATATTAAACAACAATAACATAAATTATGAAATAATGATGCCAAAGGACACAAGACAAGAGAATTGGCCCGTGAACGTTTTGTTATGTTTGTATGTAAAAACGAATTAAAAATAGCAAAAATTTTCATGTCACAGTGAACGATCGATTGAATGATTTCTTTGTGCTACGTTTAGGGATTTCATTATCAATATATATATGTGAATTGATGTTTTTGCGATTATTATTATTATTATTTTTTTTTTTTTTTTTTTTCAATCGGGATAGCTTTTCAGTTATTAGCTGCTTTCACTTACGTTACGTTAATGGTACATAAGATTTCATATACAAATAAATAAATTACATAACGATATTGTGAAATAGTTCCTTTGGGTAATTAATGACAAACACCTGTTAGAAATTAATGCTTCTTTTCATATAAATAAATGCTTACTAACATTTTCTTTGTGTTGATATATACCTGTGACTGGTGACATAATGACAACATGACGTATTTCTTTCTTTTCTAAGGAGTGCCAATCAATGAAGAAATATGTACGGATATGTTTGATTATAGGAAATTCAAATATTATATTTTTGTTGAAGAGAGACAGTAAAAAAAGAGACAACCATATAGCCGGCAACAGCCGATCAGTCAACGACCTGCTGCTTACTGTATAAGGAATAAGAAAACTAATTAATTATTTATTAAATTCACTGAGTCGCTTATTTAATTTCCATTTTCGATGTTGAAAGTCCATAAACAACAATGAGATAAAAACAAAAAATTACCGTATCGAGGTAAGCCAGATACTATAAATAAATATAACATAAACTTAAGTGTAGCGTTCCGTCTAACTTCTATAAAGAATAACCGGGAAGAAAGGGGAAGTAGCTTGAAATTTAAAATCAATATAACAAATTTTCGTAAATCAGCTTCAAAACCCCTATTTCCCCTATAGGCGCTCACAATTTATATGGGTTTGCTGATGAGTTCTAATTTTCTCTGATAAAGGTTAATTCGAATTGGCTCACTTAATATATCGATCGTAAATGGTTATACCTATACCTAGGGGTTCTTTACCTTCCTGAATGAATGCTTTGTCTTATTTAGCCGATATCATAACTTCATAACCTTCACAATGCATTTTAAGTCTCAGTAGGCAATGAGTTAGTTCGAAACGAATAAAGCGTCTTATTGTGAAAAAGTTGTATGAAAAAAATTTGGAATTTATAAAATGTCTCGTTAAGTGAATGCCAGAAAACGGATCAGGTGGTGTCATCTCTTCAATCGTTTGACGGAAAAGTAAGCTTGTAGCAATTCGACATAAAAATGAATAGTCCTAAATTCGGACCACATAGAGAAAGTAAGCCTTTATAAGGTAAAACATCTCATTTTTAGTTCGTGACGAAAATAGGTGAAAAAAATCAAGACAAGAAAGCTAATTTTGTAATATTTTAACCAAGTCAGTTCATCTTTTGCCCTCGCCTCAACCTACCTCTAAAAAAACAAATAAAAAAGTTATATTCGGCGGAGGCCGAACCTCGCATACCCACCACTATGTTTTTCGCATTCTACTCTCAAAGTTCTTTTACTTGATACCCATCTCCCTGGCATTATTAAGAAAAAATTAATCACGATCTCTATCATATTCGCTTTAAAATTAACCTATTTTTACGAAGATAATATATCTGCATTTAACAAGTGTGCGAAATAGTTTTAAACATTTGGTCTTGTTTGCGTTACGATGAATGAGCAAAAAAACCTCAAAAAAGTGAAAAAAATAAAATTTAATTATTCGTAACTGTGCGTGGACTTGGCCGATTGATTCCATTTTTGAACCTAAAGGTCAGAGCTGAACTGAACTAAAGGTGTTTCGTAACATAGAAGTGGAAAATTTTTTGCTTTCTAACTTTTATAATTTCCGAATAACGATGAAAATCCCAAAAATGTTTGTTAAGAAAAAAACGGAGTTGAGTTCAGTTCAGTTTACGCTACACCACGCGCTTCCGCTCTGACCGACTTGGCCCATTTTCAATACCAACCTGCTTCAATGCTTCTACAAAATTTAAAGTTCATTTTTGTAATCAGGAGAATGCCAACAACACACGCCACATAGACACACAGAAGGACAGACATGACTAAATTAACTCAGGATTTAACGCTGATCAAGAATATATATACGCTATAGGGTTGCTGAAGCTTCCTCTTGGGTGTTACATACAAAATCAGTATAACCTATAATCTTACAGTACAGATGGGTATAAAAAAAAAAAACATTTATTTACTTTCTCAAACTATCTAAATATACATCTTGCAGAGCTAAAGCGTAAAGCGTAGATTAATGCTAAGAGGAGTTAAAAACGATAAAGAGCATTAAACACAATCATATATGAAAATCCTTTATTCAAAATAATGTCAATCGATCAATAATTGGACATTTTGCCTTAAATTGTGTAGATATAATTGCTTCTGAAATTTCTTTTGTCCTAAAGTAAAACTAGTCCAAATTTTTTTGCTTTTCCTCAATTTTGTTTTTCCTTCTAGAGTCTGAAGAAGCAAGATGTAATGTATATGTTTCTATAAAGTTTCTACCATATATAAATTTAAAAAAAAAATAAAAAAAATATTAATTACTTTGTAAACTTTGTTGCAGCAATCTCTGTCCCACGATTAAATGCTACGAGTTTAACGAACGACACGAAAGTGTCAAGAAAGTGAAAAGAATAAACAGGCGAATATAATCTCGAAGGGAGCAACAGTATCACATCGTTCGCCAAAGCTGGTATATTTTCGATTTAGCAAAATATAGTTTATTTGAAACTGTAGGCCATTGCAACGCGGATCGCTGAAATAGAACTTGTGCATTTAGCAAACTAGAGATCATATCTTTTTAGTTCATCATAATCTCCAACATGTCTGGTCATCAGTATGAAGAAAATTGTAATAAATTTCTCTATTTATTCATTACTTGGCCGCATATGCATGTAATTGAATATATATTATTGCTTATCATAGACAGTATAATTGCTTTTGATGTGTAATTTCAATGTTTCCCGATTTTAAAAGTTTCTTCAAAGGATAGATACCTTTATTGCTACATAAATATGGTCAATTTTCGACCACAATCGCTCTTCATCTTTTTATAATTTATAAATAGAGTTATTGCCTTGCCTGGTGAGTTGGATTTTTTTCTTTTTTCAAATTATTTTAAAAGTGAAACTCAAATATTTAACGGCCTTGAAGAGCAAAAAAAACAAAACAAAAAATATTTAATAATAAGGAAATTTTTTCATAAAATTTTCGCAAATGTGTTCGTGTAAATGCCAGAATCACAAATGCTCATAGCATATTTAATCTTCACGCGACAATATCCTGGTAGCAAAAAAAATTTGATCATCAATTTGTTTGTATTTTTATTGAACATATTAGATGCTAGATTGGCTAATTTCAGCATCTCCTTCAAAATGGAAATGGCGGTTCCATTTTAAAAGTTTCGCGCGTTAAATACAAAAGACTTTTGCTATTGTCTAAAATTTACCGATCTTATTAATGCTATCCAACAACATATACAAAAATATGTATAAATAATGACTACATTAATAGGTTTTTTTGTTTTTTTTTTTTTTTTTTTGTCAAGTGGTACATATGCTATACGCCTACCTGTCTTGTAAGTACATGATATATGATTAATAAAATACCAACTGAAGCCAACGAAAACACACAAAAAGTGCTAATTATTATTAGTTATACTAAAAAAAAACGAAGAACAAGAATAATAAAATAATAAAATATTAAACGCCTAGAGAATATGTGAACATTTACAAAATGAATGTATGGTAGGAATGAAAATGTGAATATGATGGGGGATGGATGAGCGAAGGACAACATAAACAGGCCGTGTGATGAACAAGACGTGAAACTACTTACCTTAAGCTTAGATCGGGAGAGGCGCAGCGTATGGCAACACTAGGTATTTGAGGTACTAAACGCATAGCCATAGCCACCTGATTTCGCCATAAACGTAAATACAAATCTTTTTGACTTTCGGTGGGCACTTTCTTTGTGGGAGCCGACGAACGCAAAAGTGATGCGCGATTATCGCTCACCGGTCTTAAGAAGATAATACACATTATTATTGTTTATAAATTCGATAAAACTACTTACGTTGGATCGATTACACTATATAGCGTTGTTACTCTAACATAGCATATAGGCCACGCCTGAGTTACAACTGACGGGCATTTTTGTAGTATACGATCTCTTTCGAGGAAGCCAAATAAACAAACCGACCAGGGATCAAATTGTTGTTGAGGCATGGCACTACTTTGTGATAAATTCAGTGTAGATGTGGAAGACTTTGAATTATCTGAACAATAACAAAACAAAATAAAAAATAAAAAAAAAAAAAAATAAAAAAAAAAATAAAACAAATAAATGTTATCTTTTTTAATAGGAATCCTTTAAAAATCTTCACCATCAGTTTGTCCACCCAACCAAACACCACTAGAACGTTCAGCTATCCACTGTAAGTCGATTTGTGTGGCATTTAGTATGGCCGTCTTTTCGGTTTGAGGCAAATGTGGCAAGCATTTTTCTAAAATCTAAAGAAAACATCTAATTATGTAAATAAATGCGTCTTGCATTAACAAACCTGTGGACAGCATTTGTCAATAACATCGAGTAATGGCGGTTCGTTTTCGGGTAAACATAAAGCTTTCATAAGATTCTTTACTTCTTTCAGTATCATCGCCGCTAGCTTACGTAGATAAGGCCGATAATTACATAAGAGTACTAAAGCGTAACCCTCCACAAAGTGCAGCGTTGTAGCTAAAGGAATTTCATTCTTTTTATTTGCATCCGCCATATTTATTACAGTTGTTTGTGTTATGGTTGAAATGCCACTCGAAGTAATGCTTGAAGTCGCACTCGAATTGGTATTTTTCGCATTACTGACACTCGAGAGTTGACTGGTTGCAGTATCCTTACCAATACCAACGTTAATCACACCACCCGCTCCAGCGAGACCTTGATTATTCGTTGGCCCAATGGTAATGTTTGTTGAAGCGGCTACGTTACCACTGGCGGTGGGTGTCTTTAAATTATTACCACCAGTAGAACTATTGCCATTAACATTAATGGCACATCGCCATATATTTAAAAAGACAAACAGCATACGAGTGCAATTCTCCAATAATTGCGGATAGGTGTCGGTGACATCGCGCACCAGAAACTGTGTGTAACCGTGCACGACATCCTGACGCCAATCCGGAAAATCGATTACCAACGTTTGTAATGATTGATGCGTTAACATACGCAACTCCTCGTCCATGTGCACCGTGAGACGCGACAATAAGTCCACTAACTCTTGCGGTGTCATTGTATCGGGAATTAAACGAGGCACGGCCGCCACACAAGTACGAAAGAGATCAATGCGAGGTTTACGTTCGCCCGAGAGCATTTCATCGGGCTCTTTATTTTGATTTTGTGTATTCGTCATCATTAGTGGACGCCCATAATGAACATCCAGGGCTCGCAGTATATCGACAAATACACGTCTCACGTGTGGAAAATACGTCGACATGCCGATACTACGCGCAGTGTCATCCGTTAGCATTTTGTTGATATAGGTTTTCTTAACACGCAACGTATTGCCGGAGGGCAAGACAGGTACTGTGCGAGGCATTGGAGGTTCGCCGTCCTTCTGCTGTAGAGAATCAGCGACCACTAAGAAAGCACGCAAGCCAATACTCATACGTTCGGGATTAAGTATTAGCTGAAATAAGTAAATATATAGAATATAATTTAATTCGTTTGTCGAGGGCATTTTTTGGAAACCGCTACCTTAATAGAGCGCCCTACGCACAGCAGATCATAAACTATTTCACGCATAGCAAAATCTAAGCGTTCTTGAGCTATAAATTGTATTATCTTAACGAAAATATTAAGTGGTGTGTCTCGCGGTACAACACCTTTCGAGCCCCTTTATTAAAGAATTAAGATACCGAAAAGAAGAAAAAAAATATATAAATAAATATATTTTATAATTTGGTACATTTACAGAGTTACAGGGAATCTTACTTGGGAAATAATGAATTTACAATACTTTGCAGGCGCGAATGTGTAGCCGAATTCGATTCACATTTAATACGTATCATGTAAACCCATAATAGGCGATATAAGGACTCCAAGGCTACACGGCTCATTTTTGAATCACGATTTTTTAAATTACTCAAGCACATGGCCAAAAAGTAATGCCAATTCGATAGGAAGAATGTCTTCTGCGAAACGCATAGCAGACATGTTACCAAAGGGAAAAGAGCTAAACGATGTTTCGATTTCGTAGAAGCGTCCAGTGTTTGCACATACAATAACTCAACGAAATTTTTAACGCAGGGTACGTTCACTTCATTTTTAACGGCCTGAAAGATAACATAACCATTTACATCTGTAGTGTGCTATGAGTTATATCGAAACTTACTGCGGCTACGGGTACAAGAATTTCGACGAATAGACCAGCCAAGGCGTGCTTAATATCCTTATCTTTTAATTCTAAGAAATATTGACCGCATTCATGCATGAATTGAAATGATGCCTCAAATTCTTCAATAGGCACCATCTGTAACAATGGATAGAGAATACATATAGAAATATTTTATAAATAACGGATCTATGCATAAACCACCAAAAAAAAAATCAGGTAAATTTAAGGTCGATACCTCCATTAAGGTTGAATACCGGGCTAACTCATTTTAAAGTCTTTTCGGTCCAACTTATCCGCATATTGGAGATCGGAACAACGACGATAACGGAATATCCCAAAATATATACGAGACACGCACACGCACTCGCCTCTAGTCTTTTACCTTTTGAGTCGAAAAGAAAACAGAAGGAAAGACGACATCGAAAAAGACAGATTTTATCTCGCCAGATAATGCGTTTAATGCTTTCGGTCTTCGGTTCGGTAATTTATGGTATTCCAAGTGCGTTACAAATGCGCGGAAAAACACCTGCTAATGAATGCTTGTCGAAATTTTTACAAGGCGGTATGCATAGATTTCAAATGAATATAGGAAATGGCAATAATACGTACCTTTACGCGAAAAAATTTCATACCCATTAACAAACTAATTATGCTTTGCGTGGTGTGTGGAGAGGGCTCTTTGGCTCTTAAATCTTTTAATTCATTCATGAAACGTTTACGCACCGAACTGAAACGGGATTGGGCCAAAACACCGATTACCTCAGCGTATAAGTCCGCTATAATATGTATATTATGGGCGTTGGGATTGTTTTGCAAACCGTCTTTGTATTTAAAATGTTTGAAAGCCAAATTTTCAATACTACGCACCAAGTCCTCATGACCCGGATGAAATGGTAATTGCTTTAAAATTTCGATGAGAGCTAAACAGAAAATGAATTCAACGGCAGCTTCTCTTCGTTGCAATTGAAATTCCAATTCAATGCCATTCATAGGTTTGCTGGCGTTCGCTGATTTCTCCATACGTTTCAAATCATTTTTAATTTCCGCATCGGACAATTGCCGTCGATGCCAAGCCAATAGCGTATGCAATAACGAAGGCAAACAATGCTCAGCAACACTACCTAAAGCCGATAACAATTGATCAAATTGTTGATCTTCGCCGCGTTGCAACAATTTCGATAGAGTTTTATCGGCACTTTCGAGCATTACAAGTTCAATTTTCTTTTCCGCTTGCAAAGTGAAATCTAAGAATAGATTACGCATCACAATTTCGCCTGGCCTTAAGCTATTGTTATCATTATTTTCATTTTGATTTGTAACACCGACACTGGTAGCTAACGTATATGGTATCATATTGACAACGGAACTGCGTGAGTGTGTACCCCATGGCAGTAAAGACTGCCTCTGCGGTATCATTGCGGAATTATTGCCTAATGCCGGTAATGCCGTATTAGTTGCTGTCGACGCAACTGCAGCCGTTAATGGTTGGGTATTAAGTCGATTGGCGTTATTCTGTGCATCAACAGAATTGTTATTATTGCTATTACCGCTATTACAACAGCTATTAATATTTTGATTATTCAATTGGAATTGATGTTGTTGCTGTCCCATATTGATTACGTTAACGACGTTATCCGCATTATTGCCAATTATTAACTGTGATTCATTTAAATTATTGCCGCTAGCGTCGCTAATATTGGATAAATTTTGAGGTAATGGATTTTCATCATTAGCTATGTTAATGGTACTGAAAGCATTATTATCACCGCTATGTATTGGCGATGAAGTCGTTATATTAGCTATTCCTGGCGCGCCAACTCCACCAGCCCCGGCTGCTACTCCTGCTGCTAGTACTACTACTCCTACTCCTACTCCTACTCCTCCTCCTCCTCTTTCTCCTCCTCCTCCTCCTCCTCCTCCTCCTCCTCCTCCTCCTCCTCCTGCTCCACCGCTTGCTACGATTCCTAAGCTGTTACGTGACGACTTTGGTGTTACTAACGCATAATCACCGTATGTAACTGAATGATGAGAGGGAGGTGTGGTACTAACTTCGTTATTATCATTAACTGGTGCAGGCATTTGATCCTCATTCTCATCTATAATGCTAGTTGCAATTGGACTGGAAGTTGTTAGGGGGGTGGCAGGTCCAGTCGTCTTAGGACTACCCAAAGTGTTTATAATGTTTTCATTTTGACTTGGATTTGATCCTATTCCCGACAATAAAAAAAATCAATTGCTATTATTATTCATTCGTATTCGATTCATATATTTTTTGCATTATATTTAAGACATCATTAATTCCAACTATGAATGAAGCTAAAATGTATTTAAAATGCGAGAGAATGGATGACAATGACAAGCCTATAAAATGCGATTTGTATAAAAATGAAAGAGTACCGTGAATTTATGCTTAGCCTTTGCATAAAAATATGATGCATATCTAAATTTGCCCACCCTGTACATTGAAATAATGGAAAAGTCGACTAAGCCAAATAATAAATGATTTTTCATTCATCAAACATGAAATGTAAAATTAAGAACAATTACGCTTACGGTTATGGAAGTTTAAAAAAATGCTCCCATCCCATCCGTATTTTCTGTATGCAATCATAATGCCAAACTATAATTTTTCGCCTTTTATTGCCGGAAAATGTTAAACATGACAAATTTTATTCATATAGCAATATTTTCAATATATATATATATATATATATATATATATCATTATATGAATGGGTTTCTTCGCAACAGAGCGCTTCATGCATGTCAAAATAACTCAAAAACTTTTGATCTCTGCTTAAACAATTGGCAGACAGATGGACAGACGGTCTTGAATCGATTCGAAAAATGATTCTGAATTGTTTGGGGTGTTCAAACTTAATTGAACCTTATCATAACTGGTATGTATGTGTGCTTGGATAATTGGGCATCCGATACGTAATGAAAATGTGAATATATATATTGAATGGGGATATATAGAGAGAGCAAGCTTAAGCGTAATTAAACAAGCGAAATTTGTGATGGACATTCCCGCCGTCGAGGCAGAAAAATGTACGCACACATTTTTTTTTTTTGTTTTTTTTTTTGCTTTGAATAAAATGTTCCTTTGAAAGAGAGCTTGTGGAAACTGCAAAAAAAAAGAAAGCTTCTATGAAAATTCGAAGACAAAATTTAGAAGGAAAAGAAAAAAAAAAAAATTTTGATGATAAATGTAATGACATTGTGTTATGTAAAGTTCACACGAGACTTTTGCAATTAATATTTCTAAATTATTGTGTGATGATTTTCTAATTATAGGCGTAAGGTCTTACGTATGAAGAAGTAGTTCATAAGTAATGAATTTTAATTCGCAGTATTGAGCTCTACATTTTACAGTTTTACTCTACTATAAATCGGAATCGGAAAGAAGAAAAATGTTTAATTGAATACCGCCGTTCGTAAAGAATTGTAAAAGTTCATAAAATGTACGACTCGGTAAAATGCCCGACATTATAACAGCTTAACATTCCCAACAAGCGTCAGCTAAGTCAAAAAAATAAATAAATAATAGTAATAATAATAATAATAATAATAATAATAATAATAATAATAATAATAA